AGACAAAATTAAAAGTTGTAACTTTCATTTTGAAAAAAGTAATATTCATTTAGGATGTTGTAGAGTTTAGGCAAATATATTATGAAAACATAAGATTAAGTATTTTTATTTGTAACATAAAAATCATCTTTCACTCAAACTGACTTATTAAAGTCTTTATAAATGCACAGACAAATCTTTAGTAAAAATACTTCATTAAAAAATCGGATTATTTGTGTACAACAAATGTGTGATATTTACTAAACTCTTGCAAATTTTTGTTAAGATACACATGGTACATTCAGAGCTATAATTTGTTTAGTTTCACAATTTCATGGTGTTTACAAGGTCAGTCATATTGATTGATCTGTTTACTAAATGGTTGCTAGCTCTATTTAAAACTGATTGATCTGTTTACTAAATGGTTGCTAGCTCTATTTAAAACTGATTGATCTGTTTACTAAATGGTTGCTAGCTCTATTTATGTGATTTGAGAAATTTACTATTTCTTTGTTAAGATACACATAGTACATTCAGGGCTATAATTTGTTTAGTTTCACAATTTTATGGTGTTTACAAGGTCAGTCATATTGATTGATCTGTTTGCTAAATGGTTGCTAGCTCTATTTATGTGATTTGAGAAATTTACTATTTCTTTGACAGAACCCAGATTACATGAAAAATAACTTCTTCTTGTGTATAGAAACAATGCATGCACCCGACAAGGGAGACCAGGAAAATGTAAGTAATGATGCTTACCAATTAGAAAGTCTGGTAATAGCTAAGAACTGATATTAAGATGATGTGTAGAAGTTTTGTTCTTTATTATCCATCCTATGTCATTCTGTTAGCTAGTTTTCTAACTTGACACTGAAAAACTTTGTCACAGTTGTTAGCTAGTCTTCCAAATTCTTTGTGAATGTAAAAGTAATGTTTAAAAATGTTCTTACTGTGTGTATATGTGTAACCACACAGTTTTTATATAATATATTAAGGCTTATAATACTCTTTCATTACTTCTTCTTACTAAAACCAGTTTAATCATCATCACTAGTGAATACTGTTTTATCTGACAGTAGAGAAGCCACATTATCAAAAAACGTAGTTGTGGGAGAAGGGGGATTGTTTGCTATGGTGTTAGAGCTGTATTTACTTATGTGAAAGAAACTTGGTGGACAAAAATTTAGTGTTGAGTGTATGCAAAATTAGATCAAAGGTCAACACTTTTTATATCAATTCTTTGTTTGAATTGTAATTTCAGGAGTTTTTGAAATGGATTGTTAGTGGAAAGTGACAAAAATAAAAAGTTAAAATAAATCAAAGTAGATTTTTATTTAGTTGAAATTTATTTCACAGTTGTTGGTTTGTTGTTGACAAAATCTGTAGTAAGGAAGGACTTGTGTAAATCTGACCATTTGTTTTTACTGTCAGAAAACATATTACTTCTTATTCATCATTGTTTCTACTGTTTCTAAACACATTTGTTCTTGTTAAGCTTTCTATTGACTTTTGTCCTTGAAAACTTCAGTGTCTGCTGTAACATTAAACATGCTGATTTAAAAATTAGCATCTTTTATCACATTTAAAATGCCCAGTTGAAAGTTTTGCTATCTGTTATGTTTATCTGACCAAGTTGAAAGTTAGCAACTTTTATTACATTTAACTTGCCAAGTTAAAAGGTTTAGTACCTGTTATTGTGTTTATCTTGATAAATTGAAAGTTAGCATCTTTATTGTGTTTATCTTGCTAAGTTGAAAGTTAGCATGTATTATCACATTTAAAATGCAAAGTTAAAAGTTATGTATTTTGTTCATATTTATCTTGTGAAGTCCAAACTTAGTATTTCTTATTGCATTTAAGGTACTGATTGGAAAAGTGTAGTATCTTTATCATAATTATCTTGCCAAGTGTGAAGTTAGGATCTGTTATCACATTTAAGTTGCCAAGTCAAAAAAATTTAGTATCTATTAACACTTCTTAAGTTGAAAGTTAATATCTGTTATCAAATATAACTTGTCAAGTTGAAAGTTTGTGTTATCACATTTATCATGCCAAGTCAAAAGGTTTAGTATCTTATGTTTAACAAACCAGATTTAAAGTTATATAATTTGTCAACACATCTTATTATTAATGCCTTCAATGATTTGCTTGAGATGACTTATGCACCCTCAATGCTTAAAAAGTATTTACCAGTTAATTTGAGGAAAACATTTCTTGCTATGTTTTTAATTATTTGCCCAAATTTATTCATGTGAACTTTATTGGATTTATTCCAAATTATATATCATAAACATGGAGAAAAGCATTGCTGTTCTTTACTGTAGTTTCATTTAAGTAATATATATCTCATGTAAATCCAGATATGAAACGTCTATTTATCCAGTATATGTTGTGTAGTAATTTAATAACAGATCATAAAATAATTTTTGTTTCATTAATATATATAAGTATAGTCTTATAAAGTATAAAACCCTATTTTTTAGTTCATTTCCAAAAAAGTTAAGTTAAAGGTTTTAGTGTGTCTCATCACTTTGAACATCTGTGTGTATTATTACATTACATTTATTGTACCAAATTTCTTTTTATAGGTGCATGAGCTTTCTCCCGAAAAGTTAAAACAACGAGATGTTGTACTTATTGATATAGCAAATGACCCAATTGAGAGTAGGGTAAGTTTTTTCAGAGTTTGCTAGTAATTATTGCAGTGTTCAACCCTGAAGTAAGTAACGAGGTGTAAACAACAGCTGCTGTAATAGAAATACACTAACAATTTACGAAATTTTAAATTCCAATACAGTACCTTATATCTACTCACAACAGCTTTTTCTTGGCTTATACTGCCCTCTATCGGCGCAAACTTTCGCAAATAATGATGCAGTAACCCTCCACCAATAGGAGTGCAACACTATCCCTATTGTAAGTAGCACCCTCTTTACTGTTGCAACTGTTAACCACTTCTCGATTAGCAATCTTATTGTACAGACATATTTTTCGCTTGTAGTTTGACTGACTTATGCAGATGTTTTTCATCTCTTGTTTTTCAGGCTTTTCCACTTCTTTTCTAAATCAGTTACATTTGTTATTTAACGTTTTGTTAATTCTGGTGGAGAGTTATGAATTATTTTTTTCTTTTCTCTCTTCTCTCCTGCTTCACTTCTGTGAGTTTTGAATTTGCAGTTTCAGGTGGTCAGGACTACAACTGTTGTTACTCCTGCTGTGAATTTCCCAACCACACACATGGGGTCAAAACTGAGGTTGTCAGCACATGAAGTGATGGCTCTGGTGCATCAGTAATTGGTCAATTTCATGCTACATTCCAAACATGCTGAGGATTTGCCTATTATACTTGCTCAAGGTTTGATTGATTGGGAAGAGGTAAATTTGGACAGCCTTTTTCCCACTCCTGAATGTCTCTCTCAGTCACTTGTTATTTTGGGGAACTTTCCCAGGCTTCCTTTGCCTTTTCTGTGATTGATTACTCAGGAATGTAATGTTTTGTCCTTCTCTTCTACTTCGAATGATTTTACCCCTGCCCTTATCAGGGACAATCCTTTGGTTGATATTTAGTTTACTTCTTCCCCAGATATTAGGGTTGATGCGAGTCATTTGGGGAAGCAGATGTGTTTGGGGGTCAGTATGCCTGAACCCCCATGTACTAGGGACAATTTTACTTTTGCTTATCATCATTCTGACATCCCTTATTTAGCCTCACAGCATTTGCAGTTGCTTATCCCTTTGCGAGGCTTGGACCTCATTTTTCGGTTCCTTTTTCCTTTGCTGTTTCGGGCTTTGGAAACTTGCTGTCAATACTCTGTCAAGCGTCATTTTTGGGTTATCCAGCGTCAGTGACTATGTTCTCGGGTCAAGGCTCGTGGAGGCCACACTCCTTTACTGTGCCCATGTTTGGAGGTCCTTTGCAGTGGATACTTGGGCACTGAGAGTCTGGTCCTCCAATTCCATTCATGGGTTCCTGTTTTATGCCAGCATCTTTCAGAGGTGGTTTGGGACTTACTTCATAAGTGTGCCATCAAATGAGGTGGACCTTCTTGTCTGTTTGTTGTTCTCAATAAGATGGGGGATTGGTGCCTGGTCATCAATTTATAGTCTCTGGGCTGGTTCTTAGTCCTTCTCAAGTTCACCATGGAGTTGTCTTTAGCTCTTTGTTGGAGTTTTCACTCCTAGTTTCTGGACAATGGTGGTTGATGTGTCAGATGCATACCTCCATATCCCATACATTCAGTCCATATCTTTGCTTTGCTCATCAAATGTGTGTTTCACTTTTGGGCACTTCCATTCAGAATTGCCTTAGCACCCTATGGGTTCTGTTGGGTTGTCTGGGCATTTTGCTTGCCTGATTCATGCCAGGGGTTTTCATTTTCACCATTATATGGTTGACTGGCTACTTCAGGCCTCCTTACATGAAGAATCTGCCCTACCTTCTCAGTTTCTTCTCCAAGAAGATGCCAGGGTGGATTGGCTTGCCAAGGTGAAGTTTTTCTTTTGATGTCCACAAATAGATTTTGGTTCATCTGTTGGTTTTTTTCAACTCCATGATCAGTCTCGTCCAATTTTCTCTCCTTCGGTTGAGGGTTATCAAATGTTGCATATGCAGCATCTCCTCATCTCCTTCTCCAACTGTGCGAGAGGTTCTTCCTGTTTTTGGGATGTGAGCTTCTGTGGAAGCCCTCATTCCTCTTGGTTATGTCCACATTCGTCATTTTCAGTAAGTTTTGTTAGACCAATGAAACCTTGTTCGGGATCTCTTAGATGCCTCTCTCACCCTTCCCCTTTCCTTCCAGGCCAACTCTGCCTGGTGGTTGGATCAGGACAACGCTACTATGGTTGTTCCTCTTCCCCCTTCCTCATCCGGTATGTCACCTTTTTATGGATGCTTCTTTTTCCAGTTTGGAGGCATATCTCAACACTCGGGAGGTTTTGGGGAGATGGACTCTTTACAAATCATCTCTCCATATCAATATTGGATCTTCATGCAGTTCTTCAAGATTTATTTCACTTTCTGTGGGCTCTTTAGGAGCCAATTGGTGATGATACACTCCGACAATTCTACAATAGTCTCGTACATCTCCAGGCTAGGGGGCATGCAGTCGAGAGACCTCTGTTTTCAAACATTGGATTTCCTATCTTGGGACCACAGCCGTCACGGCACTTTGTTGGTGTTTCTTCCACAGGACTGAAAGCTAAGGAAGCCACACAATGCAAAAGTCAGGCTCTTCTCCTGAGGAACCAGACAAACACCACACTTACAGACGAAGTGTGGGAACAGATGGATAACGCACACCTGATTTGGGGCTGAAATAGGAGTGTTGAAGATAAAGGAAGAAGAAGTGGGGGGGGGGGGACACCAAAAGCATGTACAGCATTGAAAACCATGTTTGAGCCAGCCAGTACAGAGCCACCAATAGAACACGACACAAGTTGTCTGAATTATGGCAAGGTCATGTGTTCTAGGAGATGAATAGGAGAATATACATACAAGTACCAACCTGTCCAATCCAGACTGAGAGCATCTACTGCCCCAACCAAAGGATGAGGAACTGGAGACCAAAATTGGAGAAGCTATATATTAAAATGAGTGGCAAAAGCATCCAAATTAGAAACACCCCACTAAGCATATAACCCCTGAAGAACTTGAGGATCCTAAAACCACTCCGTAGGTAGAATCTTGTCTGTCAATCCACAACAAGATACAGGGCACCTCCATCCTTCCTACAAGGCAGTTTACCAATATTAGTGGTACAAGTACTGCTGTTTGTCTGTCTGATGTGGTTATCATCTTTCTCATCCTAATGATTCTTGCATCACGTCCATTTTTGACTTGGCTTTTTGATGGAGGCCTTTGAAGTTTCTCTTGTGAGCTATCGAGTGGCTTTCTCAGCCATGTTTTAGGTTTCCAAATACGCTCATGTCTTCTGGTCGCCAGTCTTGTCCATATTGTTTCATTCCATCTGCATTTCCCACCATCCTCACCTTGCTTCACTCCCTGAATGGAATCTCAATGTGGTCCTGCATGCTTTTCCCTTCCTTCTTTTTGAACTTTTGTCTTTGTGTTCTTTTTGTCACCTTCCTTGAAGTCCCCTTTTTCTTGCTCATATTGGTGTGCGGGTGTCGTAGTTCAGTTGTTTTCATGACTGATGTCCGCCGTGTCTTTGTTTCATAGTTCTATGTTCTCTTCTTTTCACATCATTTCTTTCTACTTAAACAATTTGGCTGCCTGAGAGGGTAATTCTGCATTTACATTTATATCCCTTCCCTCTAACCGTTTTGATCTCAACTGCCTCCTTTGCAAGGTCAGGGCTCTCCAATGGTATATGATACACACTGCTCCCTTCTGTGGTTCCCATTTTCGTTTGTTTATTCCTTGGACTCCTAACCTTTTCTGTGACTTTTCTCCCACTACCTTTATGGGTTGGATTCGTCAGTTGATTCACAAGGAGTGTTCTTCACTTTCTCCTGACAATTATAGTCTTTTTCATGTTTCTTTCCATCAGATCCATGTCCCTGGCCTGTGCATTTCTGTCTGCTCTTGGGGGACATCATCAGTGCCGGTATGTGGACCACTCCACATACTTTTACACCTTTTTTTTTTGGTGAGTGGTAAGTACTCCATTCATTTTCATTTCTTTGCAGGAGTCTTTCTTGCATGTTTGGATCCCATTCTGTGGCGAGTGTTGCCTGACCAGTCTTAAATTTGCACTGTGTGACTTGTGCTCATGTACATCTCAGATGATCTGTGGCATTGAGGTTCTTCCTAACAGGGACCTGACATACACTTCCAGATACTGCCAGATGTTAGTCGATCAACTCCGTTACTGTGGCTTTTCTGCTATTCAAAATACAATGTAATATAACATAACCAGATCATATTACGCCACCATTGAGATGGAGTGTTCCACGAGACTGCAAGTAGGTGTACCTCATGGTATTTTGCTTCATAAATATTTGTCCCGGCATATACACTCATGGACTAACATGAGTAAAGAAGACAGAGATTACTGCCCATCTCTGATGATCTGTGGCATTTGAGGCTCTTCCTACCGTGGACCTGAAACATCTAATTATACACCCCACCTCTTCTTTAGAGGGGTGAACATAAAAAGAAATTGTGGCTAGAACTACAATATACTCCAGAAAGTTGTGCCCCCTAATGGCACAGCTGTATGTCTGCGGACTTACAAAGCTAAAAACCAGGTTTCGATACCCGTGGTGGGCACAGCACAGATAGCCCATTGTGTAGCTTTGTTCTTAATTACAAATAAACCAAAAATTTGCTCTAACAACTTAGTCTATTTAAATAGGAACAGATTTACCTTTACTCATAGGAGACTGGTAATTGTTGAACTAGTACCTGGACCATGAGTGCTTTCCTGGCTTGATGACCAAATTTTTTTTACTTTGATTGTGTGGACCAGGAATCTATAAGCTATTGATTCAACCAATAAGCAATATTCAATAATATTCCGCACAATAACACTAGTTCAAACATGGTAGAATATGTAGACATCAGTGTCAGAATTTTATGTAAGAACTGACTCTTCCCCAATCTTGTATGAAAAGTTTGAATTTGTTCATGAACATTAAATATAATTCTGATGGAGTTTGATATGTGGTTCCTGTATAGACCAATTTTAAAAATTCCTATATGCATTTATCTTGTTAAATATTCAGTATTAATAGGCTATTGGAAAATAAACTAAGTAACTTTTAACTAATAATAAATATCCTGATAATGAAATATAACAATTTTAATATCTTTAATTAGAAATATTCTCAAAATAAAGAGAGAGGCATCAATAGAGAGCCTGCTTATATCACTTGGAAAACCCATATAATAAGCATAAGGATCAATTACTTATTAATATTAAATTAAAACAACTTAAGTTCTTAATATTTGATAAATTAAATTTTTTATTTAAAAAATATATTTTGCTTATGGTATTCGTGTTGAGAGAGAGAGAGACTCGTATATACATGGGGTACTCAGTCTCTCTCTCTCAACACGAATATGTAAATTGTATATACATGGGGTACTTATTTACATATTCGTGTTGAGAGAGAGAGAGACTCGTATATACGTGGGGTACTCATTTACATATTCACGTTGAGAGACTCATATATACATGGGGTACTTATTTACATACACACTTTATAGATTGTCCCTAATTACTTTCTTTTGAACTTGAAAGATTTTTATTAAGAACTTCTGATCAATTTGAACTTTCTAAGTGTGATACATAAATTCCAAACAAAGTGTACTGGAGGTTTTTTTTCCAAATCATAGACAGTACTTTATTATTTGATATTCATATAAGTACATATATTGTTTACAGAAAAGGTTAATGGGTGCTTAATGTAAGGTCAATGTTGACACCAGTCTTTAAATAAAAATATTTAACTGATTGTTTCATTTTCAGGATTACAATGAATTAGAAGACCCAAAGAAGTTTCAGTCCAAAAAAACAGGCAGAGGTCCTTTAATTGGTAATTGGCAGGTTAGTACTGCTAACTTGTGTGCTATTTACTGTTGTCTATTGAATCCTATTGCTAGTGTGCTGTCAGTTGTTACTTTAACTTTGTCCTGTTAAGTAAATGTTACTGTTTATTTAGTTCAGTTGTCAATGTCTTATTACATGTTGTCACTGTTCTGTTGTGTTTTTGAGTGCTACTATCACTGTGGTTTGGGTGTTATTGATTGCTACTATGTGTTGTGGTGTGCTAGTGTGTTTTGTTGTCAAAATATGATACAAAAATTAAAATCATGCATGTAAATTTCATAATTTACAGACAACAACTAATCCAGTGATGTGTGCCTACAAGCTCGTGACTACAGAATTTAAATGGTTTGGCTTAAAGAACAGGGTAGAATCTTTCATTCAAAAGGTAAGGATATGGCTTAAAGAACAGGGTAGGATCATTAATCCAGAAGGGAAGTGCTTGATTTACAGAACACAGTAGAATTTCCATCCTAAAGGTAAGTTTGACTTACCTTGGAAATTTTCTCTGATTATCTAGTTGAAAACTGGCAAATGCAGTTATTACAACAGAGGCTCATTAATTTGTATTGGTTGATTTTTAATTTTCCTTAATTACAGTTCAATGTATCTTTGAGAGACAAATGTCCTAAAGTTGTTTACAAGCCAATTCTATTCATCAACAAAATTCAAAGTTTATGGTATTCCTAAACACATCTTTCGGGTAGATCCTACAGATAAAAGGAAATTCTTTCAGGAAGTATAGAATTAATATTAATTCTGATTGAGTTTAATATAAAAAAAACTTAACAGAATGTAACAAAGCCAAAATTATTATTTCTTGCAACACATTCAAAATACGAGCACACTGACAAAGGACAATGCTATACTGGAGAGCTGTGGGTTAGTCTAATTTGGAACAACTTGAGAAAACTTTTACAGACAGAGATAGTGTAGCATTATATATATATATATAGAAGGTTCTATAATGCCATTCATCTGAGCATGTGCTACCCAAGTCATCTATGGTCATTCCAGTAGATAAATAAAGGAAGGTATATACTCAAGGTATCATTTGACCTGCCAGTGAAAGATATACCATCTTCTTTACATAGTGCATTCTGCTGTACTGTAATTTTTCCACAAGAAAGCATAAATGATACCATAGGAGAATTATTCAGAACAACAGATGAAAGGAACTCAGCCATATTTTTGACCAGTGTTCTACTTTCAAGTCTAAATACATTGTGTGTGTGTGCACAATAATATTTATGAGGAATTTGTGTTCAGTTTACTAAATAGACAGATAACACCTTGTATGCCTACATACTGCATTGTCCACAAATTGATTCTGATCATCATCAATGAACAAAACTGGCCAATTAGTGTATGAGAGCAATAAAATGTCAATTGTTTTATGACTTTTTGTGTTTTAATAACTTTTAAGACATGTTGAGAGATCCTATAAATGCTCTTTAGGTTATATTGGATCTACCACTAGGTAGTTACTAATTTGCATAGAAGAAAATGCCAGTTTAAGTTCTGTATCATTTTCTACCTTTAAGAACCATGTAGTGAATAAGTTTAATGAATGTATAAATAGAGAACTATTTAAAATCCTAGTGAAGGCAAATAATGAACAGGAATTCCATATAAGGGAAAGTCTACTAATTACTATACTAATACCAGAATTGAATGAACAAAATATTACGGTTTATTTATTATTAAAGATATAAGAATGATGGTTTAGTAAAGTTTTCCATTTTAACTGTAATTTTAATCAGTCAAGTTAGGCAAAGTATCACCTTGGTTGTGATAATTTGGGTTCAGTTGTTTGACTGTGAGAATATTCCACCAGTTAACCTTGGATGTGATAATTTGGGTTTAGTAGTTGTTTGACTGTGAGAATATTCCTCCAGTTCATCTTGGCTGTTATAATTTGGGTTCAGTTGTTTGACTGTGAGAATATTCCTCCAGTTCACCTTGGATGTGATAATTTGGGTTCAGTTGTTTGACTGTGAGAATATTCCTCCAAATTCACCTTTGTTGTGATAATTTGGGTTCAGGTGTTTGACTGTGACAATATTCCTCCAGTTCACCTTCGTTGTGATAATTTGGGTTCAGTTGTTTGACTGTGAGAATATTCCTCAAGTTCACCTTGGATG